AATACAGTAATATATATAAGGAAAACCTGATTTTAATGGTTTTGGTTTTTCTGACAGTTGTATTCACCTTCTCTGAGAAAAAAGTTGTTTTGTAGTATTTTAATTTCTGGTTATAGTCTTACGAATATTGCAGTTAGCCAGCCGTCTTGTGCCTGTTTCTCTTCAGAGGATCTGTATTTGTCATAATTGGCCTATATACCTATATGTTAAAACCATTTTCTGATACTTGATTTGAGTGTATGTGTGTCCATTTGCAGGTGCGCACAAACAGCTAGCAGGCAGCAGGCAGGAGGTTAAGCCTGTGATGGATGCAGTCTTTGTGCTGGGAATTTAGAATCCAGTTCAGGTTTTTCTGTTAACTTCTTTACCCTGGGCATACCAGGTAATCCCCTGATGAATCCCTGGCTTGTTCAAACAAGTTTGTGTGGGTGGAGAAAAAAAAAAAGAAGAGGTGGTATTGTTTTACTCGGCTTCAAACTTGCTGTGGGGTATGGGAGTTGCTGGATACTTTGCGCTTGCAGAAAGACCTTTGTAAAAGCTTGCTTTAATTTTTTAAATGAAAAAAATTTGCTTTTAATTTTCAAAAGCCTAAATGTTTTGTGGAGCAGCGAAAAAACCTCAACAGGGATTAGTACTCTTCTGCGTGTACTCTCTCAAATCAGATCTTTGGGCCGAGAGGACCCCTTTCGTGCTTTTCAAAGTTTTGAGGAAGTGTGGAGCTGTTAGAAGGCTCCACATAGCTGCCAGACCTACTGCGTGGCTCCTTCACCCTACTTCTCTAGACACTAACAGTCCCCCACGTAATATGACAACCTCTTGATGTATACTAACAGAGGCAGGAGTAGAGAAGCCTCGGAGCCGCGTTGCTGTACACTGGGAGCATGCTTGTCTGTAGCAGTGCTGGGCAAATGAAAAAGCAGAACGTAACTAGCCTTCTCTCTCGCCGCTCGGGTTCTGCATTAATAGCAACTCAGCTGGACTTGTAAGGGTGAAAGATAAGTGTTTGCAGAGGATATATAATTTATTCAAAAATGTCATTTAAGAGCTCTTTTTTAACTGCCTGAGTACGTCAGTGGCAGCAGTAATCACCCCAGCGCGTTCTGGGGAAGTAGGCAACAACTGTGTTTGGAATACTTATCTCAACTCTCATGACTCATTGCCTGGCCTTGAGAGCCCGGCTTACAGAAAGCAGGAATAGTTATTTCTTGTTTCTCTGTAGAGCTGTGGATTTTGCAAGGATCACTGATATCGCTTACCAGTTAAGTGCAAACCTAGTTCAGAAATTGAGGATTCACCAGTAAGAGTACTCACTGGGTTTAACCCAGTTGGTGTATTGCAGCAGGGAGATGTTGTCTAAACGATCGTTCTGTACAAAGCCCGGTTGCAGCAGCAATTCTGGGCTGTGCCCTTATTTCTCTGGGAGAGCAAGAGCTCAGCATAGCAAGGCAGAGATGTGTTGTTTTACATGGAGCAAGCAGGGTGGTTTCTGTACAGGGGCCAGAACCTGAAGCTGCTGTGCCTTTCCTAGTGCTCTTCTGGCGGTGGGGAGATACAGGGTTTACGTTTTAAAATCTGCAGCTCTCCCCAAATTAAAAGTGATTCTTCTGTGTTTTCATGTATTCTGATAATTTTAAAACAAAGGTGCTACCCCCCTTCTTTTCCTTTATTCCTTTAATAGCTCTACCCTCTCTTCTTTTCCTTTGTTTCTTTAATAGTTAATGACTATTAAAATAAAGTCAGTTTCATAATATATTCATTTTAATACTGTCTTTTTGAAATTTGTAATTTACACTCAAAATAGAAGTTGCAGTCTAAAATTTTGAATTGTAGGTACAAATAGGTAGTTAAGTTCTGAAGCAGTCCAGGCGTTTTCAGTCGTCTGTGCTGTTCTGTGGCCTTTACAAAAGCAAAGCGGTATAGCAATTCATCAAATCCTTGCAAATTTGTATATTTATTAGTACAGTCCATGCACTCTTGTTTTATAAGACCTGCCAAAAGGCTGAAGCTCCCATTCTTTCCCTTTCTGCCCAGATAGCTAGGATGCTTGCAAATAAATATACACTGTATTTACAGGGATGCTTTCAAACAAGTGAAAAACTCGTCCGCATTTTTACTGTGCATGTCTGCAGTGTTTAGTGCAGCAAGATCATATTCACAGATTGAGCTTTAGGTACTGCCACAGTTAAAAAAAAAAAAAGAAAATGAAATAAAAATGTCATCAGAAGAGCAGTAGTTATTATAATGACCAAACATTACTCTCACTTCATTCTGTTTCATGTAGACAAAACCAGATGAAGCAAGAGACATTGACAAAATGCCTTGTATGGTAATCCAGTTAATCTGTGTCGGGTGAGGATTGTCAAGAGTCCTGCGTCTTTCTGAGGGACATAAATGTATTTCTGTGTATAGCGTCCAGGTTACGTGGCTGTACTTTGAAAATCCAAGTTCTTCCTTGCCTGCACATTACGATGCCACCTACCGTGATCACGCGTTACGTTTCTTTGGTCCAGTGGTGTTTCTCCTCTATGACAATGTATTACATATGGATTTCCTTTGTCTGATTGTTTCCTTCTGCTTCAAGGCTGCATGTCTGCTTACTGTGCGTTGGAGTTTCTACTTTGATCTACTCATTCCCATTAAAGGCCTGTTGGTTTCAGTAAGAGGAGGATTATGCCAAAGCTGAAGGCTTTTGAAACTGCTTATGAAATACTTCCCTGTGACATGGATGAAAAGTATTAGGTTGCATTCGTGTCAGATTGTGCTAATGCCATCTTATATGCCAGCCAATATATGTTCAGGTTTTGTCGTGCTGCATTTTTTTATTTTTAAATTTGGAGATTGGTTTATGTCCATCTTGAGTATATTTGTGCACCTAGACCCTCTTCAGGTGTCAAGTCTTTGAGTCGCATTGACTTAGTGGAGCTGTACCACTGCACATCAGCTCCTGTACTGCCATCTGCTCTCTAGGTGTGCCCAGTAATGCAGTGTAGCACCATTTTTAGTTGGCTGATGGGATGAAAGTCTTTAGGTCTCCCGGTGTCATCAGCTGCGTTTAACAGGCCATTACCTTTTCGCCCACTATCCTTGTATCAATCTTATTATTTTGGTAGAGACTAACATGTAACAACAAAAAAGATATCTGACGTGCTGATAGCCTCATTGCTGAACTTTTCTGATTTAAGTTTATATTGCTCCAGCTTCTGCCTATATTTTTGATTATATCTTTATCTACTAGATAAGGGCCTTTAACATTTGCTGCTTTCTTTTTATGAAGGTCCCTGTGAACTGTAAAGAAGCAGCTTCTAGATCTTTATTTGAAAGTCTAATGCAGAGTGCTCTTTGGTCTCCCACTGCTCCTATTTGCTCTTGTCAATGAGTCAATTTTGTGCATCTTTATTAAACAGTCTTCAGCCAACTTTTTTATTATTTGGACAGTAATGCAGGATGTGATATTCTAATACCATAGAGCTGAACACAGAATACTTGTAATTCTACTTTTTCTATCTTATAAATTAGTTCAGTAATTTATTTGAAAACAGCTCAGTTCTTCTCAATTTCTTAGTGTGTTATCTGTGACAGCCACTGTTTAGTCCTCCTCTCAGTGAAAAGTGAAGACAGTCTCCTCAGGTCAGTGAAGTTCCACTGAAGCCAATGAAGATAAACTGATTTGTTACAGTAGAGAGCTGGTTCTCATCTATAGTTCTTTTGGCTTTAATGGATATCGGGCATTTAAAGTTATCGGGAGATAATTAAAAAAGTAACCGAAGAAAAAATGCTGTTCTTACATTCTGATAAGAGAAAGTTACTTGGAAGATTCCTTTCCCTTCTCTGTTATGTTTTGCTAATGGTAATAGTTGTGGGTGTAACTAATGTAAATTTTAGATGCAGTCAGATAGTTCTAGATCCAAAGACAACAGCTACGTCTATTAAGAGCGAATGATTTAGAAGAGGAAGCTGATGGGAAGCCTGGCTTTAAAAACAGACCCAGATTTTATTTTTCACAATTGTTTTCTTTCAGCTGTTTCCAAGGTACAGAGGGATGCTTAGCACAGTAGGGCGCAACATTTTTGCAGCTGGAGAGTCACAGTGCAAGTCAGAAGTTGTGTGTGTACAGCTTGTTTTAAGTTACCCAATGAATCTCCAGTCCTGTCTCTGTGTCTTTGAGGGTTTATTCCCTGGCATTAACAGGAGCAGGCTGAAAAAGTTCCTGAAACACTTTACGCTTGTTCAGGAAGCTGATAGGAAGACTGCAGACTGCCGAAACACAAACATACACACGCTGCATAAGAGCTCTTGAAGTTTGTTAGTGAGCGTTTCTCTTCACTGCAGTGATTTTTGCCAGAGACAGCTCTTCCAGTCTTTTTTGCATTGCCAAAATTTTTATTGCTAAATCTCATCCGAATCTGTTAAACTCAGTGGGAAGACTTCCACTGAAATCAAATGAGTTGTTGGTTCTGTTGAATTGGACAGGTTTGCATGGATAGTCTTTTTGATGTTAGTGTTATATTGAAGATTTGGTCCTTCACTGATTTGTATTTGAAAAGGTTACCTACTGCAAGCTAAGGAGTTAAAAAACCAGGCAAGACTTGGAAGCATCTTTCCCCGCTGTTTCTTTCTTTTCCATTGTCTTTCCAGCGTTTCTTACCATCTCTTAGTAGTGGTTTATTTTAGTTTCACTGGGAAGTGCATCAGTTTAGAAACTGTCTGAGCTTGCTTGGGAGCTCTGATCCCATCAGCTAGGAACGATTGCTAGCTTGAAGCCCCTCACCCATGTTCAGCTAGCAGTGGCACGTTTTGGTGACCGAATCCCAGGATGGGCATATGCTGACAAAGCAACGTTCTGGTGTTATAGATGCAATAGATTATGTGCAAATCAACAATAACGATCCCGCTACCTACCTTGACTTTTTTCCCTACCACCGTTTTCAGTTTTCTCCTCTTTAAAACGTGTGATTGGTCTGTATTTACTTCATCGTATTCTTTTTCCCCTAACAGTCAAAATGGTACCTGTACGGTTTCCAGACGTCAGAACACCATTCAAGAACTTTTGCAAAACTGTTCGGATTGCCTGATGAGAGCTGAACTCATAGTACAACCTGTGAGTGCTTTTTGTTCCGCTTATTGAAAGTGGTTATGAATATTAGAGGGAATGAATGCTACATTATTTTTGTACTCAGTGGTGCCTGGTTCATCTTTTGCTTTCTCCCCTTTCACTGTTGGTATAAGGGAATTGTGCTGCTTACCCCTGGAGTGGAATAGCACGAGTCCTACATAGGTCTCCCTCTCCTGTCAGCACTCAGTGTTCAGTAGGACTGGTTAAAATGCATCCGATTAAGAAAAGGGGGACTTTTTAGTTAGCAAAAAAAAAAAAAAAACCACCCTCGAAACTTCCAGCACATTCTGCTGGATCTTATTTTTCAGTTTTAGATCAAGGCCACTGTCAGTGTAAGCAGTTCTTGATAATGTTATGACCACTTATACTGTTAGTGTATCCTGTAGAATATCAGCATCATTTTCTGAGCTATAATGAACCTGAACCATCAGAGAAAAACCCTTGAATACATTTATTTTATTCTACCAAATGATTCCTAAGGAAGTGTTTGAAAGGAAATTAGAATCTGCTTGACTGTTTCATCTCAAATATATAGGGATCATCTTTGCTGAATGCTACACTAATATGAACCCATTGTGTTTGGTGGCTGTGTTACACAGTGATTTTAGATTCAGTCCTGGCAAATACGGAACGTCCTTGGTTCCTGCTGCAGTCGAAGGAAGAGCAGGGTAGTGAGCGTGTCCTGCTATTGAGGCCGTTGAGATCCAAAATCCATTCACAGTTTTTGCAGTAGATATGATTTAATGTACATTTTTGGACCCTCTGTGGACGCATAAGTCCTTCAGGAATGAGCTCTGTGGTTAGCAGTTTATTTCCTTTTTGGAGATGCAGCACATGTGAGCATGTTTATATAAAAGTCAATGCCAGAGTAAATACTATCTCTTGTTAAGGAATAATATTACTGCAGTGAGGTTAAAAGAAGGCAATGTTTAGTTCCATGTTGGTTCCACAACATGCATTGCTTGCTTTTTTTTTCTGAGGGACGAAGTAATGAGGCCCATCAACATTTTCTTTGCAAAAGCAGATCATGCTTGGATTATGCTTGGTTCAGCGTGACTGTGTGAGTGGGGATTGACATCAAAAAGTCTTGTTTTCGCGCTCAAAGCATCGTGAACATTTGGGTCCGCTGCATGGAGAGGGAGCACAAAGCATTTGTCTAGACTTTAGGTTGACAGGATGGGATGCAAATGTGGTTAGGAATAGAGCTGGTTCCAGGCAGAAAGGGTGTGTTCTGTATTTTGGAATGGAAGGAGCAGCAACTGTGACTCTTAGAGCCTCGGAAAAACTTCTGCAGAAATCAGGAGCAATATCCAGAAACCCTCGCTAGGACAGAGTATTTGTTTCTTTTCCAAGCATTTGCACTGAAGTTGTTCCACACACTTGGGTATAACTATGATTAGACTACAATTACAGACCTAATTACAACCAAGTGGGAAATAAAACAGCTGTGAGCAAGTATGTGCACATTTTTCAATAAATAAAAGGGATATCAGAGTATATTAATTCTTTATGGAAATATTTGGTTTATATTATGTTTTAATAATTCTCTCATGTATTTTATTTATAATAAGGACTTTAGAATAACTGGATCCTTTGTTAATTGGCCTTCTGCCACCTAAAACTGACAATGAAAGACCATAGCGACTGCCTAATAGTTGGAAGCTGTCACACTTCTTCAAAATAATTACTCTTTATAACGTCTCCCTTAATATAACCAAGCTGAAGCTTACACAAAGAATATTTAATTTAATCTCCATCTCTTTCTTTTAGGAATTGAAATACGGGGATGGTGTCCAGATCCGAGGGAACAGAGATTTGGAAGAGTGTTTTGCACAGGCAAACGACCAGATGGACATCCTGGATGGGCTCATCAGAGAGATGAGGCAGATGGGCCAGCCCTGTGACATGTATCAGAAAAGGTATGGCCAGGGAAGGATTAGAGGAGGGAATGTGCCAGATGTAAATTTGCAGTTTCTGAAGTGCTCGTATTCTCTGATGTTGCAAGATGTGACAGTGATCAATAAGGTGGAACTAAACCTGTTTGGTTTGGGTATGCTAACATGGAGAAAGGCCTTGCAGTAAAATATTTCACACGGAATTTCGTGCATTGGTTGTCCTCATGAAATTTTAGCCAGTATCGTTTTCTATGGCTTAAGCTTTCAGCATTTCTTTTTGAATGCTTGGTGGTCCAGTAGGAGATGAAAATTGCGTAGTTTCTGTATTTTCTAGGTGTTTTCCTCATAGGAGCTAACTGGTTACTTCAATTTACAGGCTGCTTCAACTTCAAGAGCAAATGCGTGCCCTGTATAAAGCCATTAGTGTCCCCCGTGCCCGGAGGGCCAGCTCCAAAGGTGGTGGTTGCTACTCCTCTCAGAGTGGCTCAGGCTGGGATGAGTACACGAAACGTGTCACAAGTGAATGTTTAAACTGGATGAGACAGCAGAAGGTAAATCTTTCCAAAGCTCAGAGAAAATGCTAAGAACTGATGTTGCTTATCAGTGTCACCTCACATATTGAGTGCCAGTAGAACATTAAAGATAAGCAGAGGTGCTAGTATCTTGTTCCAGGTTTCTCTTTTTTTCTCTTTAACTTGCAGCATTGTACATGTAGTGAATTTCCACAGAAATGCAAAAAAGGATTTGGGGTCTTCTTTTGCAGAGGAAGAAGAGTGGAAGCCAGATTTAAAAACAGAAACGTGACACAGCGGTTAACATAACAAAAGGCATCAGCATGTTTGTGTTGGAGATTATAATGCTCAATATTACCTTCCTTCCTTCCACAGATACTCTTCATGCTTCATATTTATTTTAACCCTTTACACAGTTAGGAACAGCCTCACAGATTTAACCTTTGTTCAGTTTTTTACGGTTGTTCTCCCTCTAATCTATTTTTATTACACTGGGAGCCAGAAGGTAGAGTTGATAGTCATAGGACTAGACTTTCAGAAGTCACTGCCTAAATAGGAACTTCAGCATTTTCGTGTGCTATCTGTTGCATGTGCAGAACTAATTTGCCTATGCACAGCTGTTGACTGTATACCCTAGGGTAGAAAACGCATATTAAAAGCCTGTAGTCTGTTTTTGTGCTGCTGAAGTGAAAGCCCGATGTTTGTGGTGGAACAGTTTTTTCTGAGAGACAGGTAGGGTGCATGGAACAAGGTGGTCAAAGTTAAAATTTGCAGACTTCTGTAATTTGAAATTGCATTATTTTTAATCTCTCCTTGTTAGAGTGTTTCTTAGTGATCTTGTTGTTATCTGCATATGGTGTTTACCAGGTGGCTGCTATGCAAGCCAGATGAGGAGGGGACAGCTCATGAGGAGGGGACAGCTCTGTACAGCAGCTCCCCATACTTTATGTGTGCTAGTCATAGTCTAGTCCTTCAAGGCCCTCTCATACTGTGGCACGTTTTAGAGGAAGAAAGGAAAGTGGAGATACACTCTTTGAGCGGTAACATTTATAGGCATTGTGCCAAGAGAGCAGGAGCAGGTATGATTGCTCTACATATACTGTGGGAGAGCAAAACCTGTCATGCTTAGAGGAGTGATGTTTGACAGTGCGCTGGGCATGTTTCCAGTGATAAAGATCATGAACATGTGGCATCTCCCAAAGATGCCGCGTGACACCTTGCTCAGACACGTCTCGCTAATCTTGGGAAGCATAAGCAAGCACTTTACAGCAGTGTTCCCACACAAAAGCTCCTATGAAAGAAAAAGCTCACTCTCTGTTCCCTCTTCAGTCCTTAAGGCAAAGCTGACGTTAGGACAGTAAGCAGTGAGCTCCCTGTTGGGTTTTTGAAGTTTTCAGGGAAAATTTATTTTGAACTTTCCACCATGGCCTTTTCTCTCCACAGTACAAACTATATCACTATCTGCTCATGCGGCAGCAAGATAATGTTTCCTGGTATGATGAGATGTAGGAGAAAGTTTTGAGCAGCTGTGATACTCCGTTGTTTTTGTTTTCTGTCATGATGGTTTGCTGACAGGAAAATCAGCTGGTAGGAGTGTTGGTCAAAATTCCCTTGTAGAACTAAGGAAAGTGCACTGAAATCCAGACAGCCTTTGTTCACATATTGGCAGTCACCCAAGATTGCTCCTGTTGCTACAGTCTCTTTAGTACGTATAAATACAATAAGAAAGGTCAAAGTCCTGTAGCTTTTGGGTGGTTGAATGTAGAATGGTTTTGCTTGTTGGAACCTTTTCAACCCTTCCTTTAAAGCCCTATACTTGAGTGTCGTTCAGGCTTTATTGACATCTGTTGAGTTGTAAAGATTTGGCTCCAGGCTGGTAATTATCAAATTCAGTCCCAACCCAAGATCAAGATATCTATCTTTCTGCTGTGCACGTGCACACAGAGGCATACACACAGAGATTGATTGTGATCGTGTCTTTACAGCATAAAAGATGATTTGGAATTTGAGCAGTTGAGTAGTGAATTCAGTGAATTTTAATACTTGAAGATAATATCAGAGATGGTAGTTCTAATAACGTTCTTTACCTGGGATATCTGGGACATTAT